AGAGCTTTTTTAAAATTTATATAACGTAGTTTATTAGTACATGCACCATATTAATACGTGCATCACTTCAAAATACACCAAAATTAGTCTTTTATTAATATTTTTATTTAAATCATTAATCATTATTTTTTCTCTAAAAAAGTTTCCCTATAAATAATAAAAATGAAATATTTATAAAATTTAATCTTTTTATAGATATCTCAATTATAGCTCAAGAATATTACACTTTACATTACAAAAATCTATTTCTTTAAATAACTTCTTTATTATTATAAGATTTTACTATTTTAATTCATTTTTGTATTATTTATATAGATAAATATAATATATATAAGAAAAAATTAAATTATACCAATAAATAAAAAAAGTGTACGATTACACACAATCGTTTTTTGTATATAAATATAATGATACACATACTGATATAATGCACGTACTAATAAACCACGTTAACCTTAGTATAATGTGACGATCACATCATTTAGAATACTAAGGTAAAGAGCTGAAAAAGCTCTTGAGAGGGAAGTGGTAATATACAGGATTGTGGATCACGTAGGTCCCTAAGCGATCCACTAATATGACAGGATCGTCACAGTAAATACTTTTTTTAATATAATTAAGTTTTTTTTGTATATTAATATTTGCTTAATAACGTAACGTATGGGGAACTCGGACACTTTTTCAATTATTCTACACGCGATCTTGTTCTACGAGCCACACAATCCTCCAATTCCAATTCCGAATCACTTGAACTATTCTCTAGCTCTTCTTCTTCAATCTCTTCTTCTGATTCTTCAATTGGGCGTTTGCGTGGCCGTCCTCGTGGCTTTTTCTCCTTCGGTTTTTCCTCCGCCTCACGTACCATTTTCAATACTTCCTTAGTACTAAAGACAAATTGACCTTGTAATTTGACTCTTTTGCCTTTAGTTCTTTTCTTTCGAGTCTCAATTACCTCCTGAGCATCAGAGAGCTGTTTCCGAAGTAGGGCTATCTCAGCATTTTGAGATTCTACAAGCCTAGTCATTCTCTTGGCATATCGACGAGTTGGCGATGCAGGAGAACCACTGCTTGCTAGAGCTGTATTAAAGATCTGATTTGCTTGCCTTAGTTCTGTTCCATCTGGAGGAGAACTCCTGAGTATAGACAAGTCTAGGTCTTGATTGGGGGTTCTCATTTGTGGAGTAGAAGGTTGCTGGGAGGAGTTAAATGGTAATGAATCGAGTACTTTTCGTGGGGCAAAAGGTACTAAACCAGCTCCTCTCCAGCCAGCTTTAATATTAGAAGAATTCAATGCTTTTTTTCTAATATTTTGAAAGAGTTCTACCCATTCAGCTCTTTGGATTCGCTTTACACCAGCTCGAGAATATCGATCGACCTCTAAAGCATGATATCGTTTCATTGGCCCATACACCGCAATATCAAGTGGCTGAAGCAAGTGAGAGCAATGAGGAGGTAATATAAGTAAATCAATATCATTATCTATACAGAAAGCAATAAAGCTACCTGTAATATGGCTTGAATGGCCATCCATGATCAAAAGTCGAGGTCGGTCACCTGACACTTTCTTGGATTCTGGTTCGAAAACCCTTTTTAACCATTCTAATCCATGGCTATTTGAGGTCCATCCATTTGTACTAGTAGAGAACTGCCAGCTTTGAGGTGTGTCCTTTGGAATCCATGCAGAATTCGTATTCTGAGCCTTGAAAATGACCATAGGTGATAGAGCATTTCCAGCTGCATTGACACATTCAAATGCAGTTATCCATTCTTGCTTGCCAGCTGTAACTTTCCAATTCGATTTCTGAGTAGAATCGACTATAATGCGCGTACTTTGAGTACTTCCAACTCCAAATCCGGTTTCATCCATATTATACATATCATCTAATTAATTCATACTTTCGCTCAATGAGACGCGTGCGAAACGCGTCAAACCAAGCCTGAATATTCTCCGGAGTTGCTTCTTTAGCCCGATTAGACTCTAATTGACGTGAATAGCATGTTTTAAGTTCTGGATGTCGTTTTTGGAATCTATAGATCCATTCGTGGCCTATAGGTGGAATTTCTGTCGAGGTAGGATTTCGAGATGACGCGACCCGAACGCGTCGAAGACGAATTTCGTCGGCCATTTCCTTCACCAACATAGGTGTAGCAGGGAATCCAGTGATGGTAAGTCGTGAAATCCATCGTACAAGAGTATTTTCTTCTGCGTTTGAAAGAATTTGAGCCATTTCGTGGGTTTGGGAACGTGTTTTCTTCCCAGCCAGCCTATCAGCTAGGGTAGACTTAGGGACTTCAAAATGCTCTGCAGCCTTTCTAATTGATTTAAATTCTTTCAATTGAAGTGAAATTATAGCCTTTTGAAGCTTCTCTTCAATTTGAGCAGATGTAGAAGGTGATTGGGTATGCATAATAAAAGTTATTGCGGTTTCAAGTTGGTGATGGGCTAAAAGTGTCCGAGTTCCCCATATGTCCGAGTTCCCCATACGTTACGTTACTTTATTTGTTATTCGAAATATATGAATCTTTATATTCAAAAATATTTTTTTATAAGTTAATTACTCTATATCTTTAGCTAAAACTAATACAATCTTAAATATAAGTATAAATAAGTTTAATTAATAACAAGTTATTCGAAATTTAATTAATATTAGTTAAGAAAAAGTTTCAATTGAATTATGAAGAATTTAAGAAATTTATTAATTTAGATTAAAAAAAAAGAATAAATATACAAATTCGAATATCTAATTTCAAGAATACAATTTCAAAATTAAATAGGATTAAATCTATTCCTTAAAATCCTAATTTTATATTTTGAAAAATAATTGATTTTTTATATATAGTTTTAAAAGCTATAAAGAATTTAATCTTTGAAATATGATTAATATATATCTTAATAAATTTATCAATTTGATTATCATATGAACATTTTAGATTATTAAAACAATTAATATTAAATAATTGAATTAAATAATAAATATAAATATATAATATCATTCTCTTTATAATATATTTAAAGAACTATTGATTTATAGTTTTCATATTCATTCAACACCAACATTCAATATTTGCCCTTTTTTCAATTCTTAATATACTTATCGAAATACTTCAATCATTCTAAACCCGTTTTATTATTTGTTTATTCATTAGATATAGATTTAATAACTCAATCGATAAGAAGATCGGTTTTAGTATACTAATTAAAGAAATGAACTTATTCTTGAATTATTAGAAATAAGGGAATAGTTTTACCCTCTTTATTTCTATATATTATTGTTATAGCTCATTCTCGATTATTTGATTATACTAATTTGCTTTTATTATATCTTTCAGTACTAATAACAATTATTATTATATATATAATTCCCATTATAAAGTTTATTTCATTAAAATTATAAAAATCTTTATTCAAAATATTGTATTCCATTTATATATTTATAATTAATTGAAATTACTTTTTGAAAGTTATAAACATAACTAAAATATATCTTTAATTCTTTGTATTGTTTTATAAATCAATATACTTAAAACTTTTTAACAGCTTTTTCTTCTTTCAATTCGAGAATATAATTCGCTATATTTTCTACCCATTTAAATTTAAAAAGAAAATCTTTTAAATCTATATCAAGAATATATAAAATAATTATTTATTCTTTTACTTTAATAAATTTCAGATTTTATAATTAAAATTTAATTATAAGAGTTATTTTATTCATTTTTTGAATAAATATTATATATATAATATTATATAATTTAATAGTTTTTTGAATTAAAAGTTTTTTATCTTTTTTAATAGTTTCAATAATTAAAAGTATTTTTCCTTTTTTATTATTTGATTATATAATAAATAATTAATAAATTATATATTGAAATTAAAGAATATAAATTAAGATAAAAGTAGTATACGTATTGATATAATATATATATTAATAAACTATGTTATAGAAAAGATAATATTTTAATTCTTTTATATAAATTATATATAAATTCAATCTAATATGACTTTGTTTGTCTTTTTGAAGAATATTTTATTAAATAATTAAAACCAACATTTTATTCTTTATATAGATACCTTTATATAAATCCTTAAAATAATAATCTAATTTGTAAATATCTTTAAGTAAAAGTAAACACTAATTAATATTTAAATTATTTAAAGAAAAGAATCTAAATCTATATTCTTAAGTAAAGTATTATAAAAATCTATATAAAATAAATAAATATAATTAAAACAATCTATATACAAATATGATTCTCTTAAGTATGTAATCGTACGTTTCGAAAAAAAAATCGATATTTTAAAACTTTACATTTCTATTTAAAAAAATCCTAAAAATTCAAGATTTTAAGATTAAGCCTAAATTATTCTGACTTATATATATATTCAATAAATTATATCATGTTTTAATAAAGATATTAATAAACTGAAAAAAGTGCTTTTTGATATAAAAGGGTAGCTCAGAACAAGAGTGGTCAGAAAATAGAATACCCGACTTATGGTTCAAACGCGCGTTATCGGCCTCGGTACATTGACTACCTCGTCCCGACAGCATGGCCGATGCCAACACAAACTCTAAAATATAATATACTCTACGAAATACTCAATTCCAAATGCATACATAACAATTCAACACATAAGTAAATGAGACAAGGGTACGTACGCATCTTCCCTTCCTTCCCCTTTGTCCGTTCCTATTTTTCAACTGTTGGTGCTGTATATATATAGGTATTCTTCCAGTACAGATCATAGTAATGAGGTTTATAGAAGAGATAAATCGCGGATGATAATAATGATGATGAAGATAATGATATCTTGCAGGAGCTCTGAGTAGGAAAATAAGGGTGAAAGCTCATGATTTAAAGTGAGTGTAAGATTACAAAAGAGATGATTTGCTGAGTACATCCACATATCTATATCCTTCCATATCAATGTCCATCCGAGATTCCAATCCAATTCCAATTCCAAACCCTAACAATAACCCATAACCCCAAACCAGTAATTTTCACACCATAGAAACATGACTCAGAATACTCATACTCCCTTTACTCGCTCTCTTCGGCACCATAAAAGTATGATTTCTCCCTCTTTCCCTCTTCGGTTTTACCTTTTCCATATCCTTCTCCGCCGTCTCCTCAACCCTCACACTATAACCAACTTCCTTCTTCACCACCCACGGTTCCAAAACTCTTTCCTTCTCCCCCTGTATCGGTAAGGAATGATCTTCGCTCCCCTTATCATCGATCGGCATCCCATCCCTCGAATTTTCAGTCCCAAATCATCATCGCTTATTTCACTAAATATGTGATTATTCTGTATTGATTTTCTCTTATTACTATAGCCTGACGTCTCGAAGGTAGGAGCTGTGGAGCCATTGCGGGTACTGAAATCGCCGGATCGAGGACGTACAAAGAGGGGACGGAGGAGCGGAACTGAAGAGGCGATCACAACGAGATTGAATTCGACTCTGTTTTCGGAGAGTTAGGAAAGAGTCATTTAGAGAAGTAGAGAAAGTCTACTATACCCTGACGAAGAATGGAACTATGTTATCTGGTATTGTTAGCAGGTCGTTAGTCGATGAATATTATGGTACTTACAAGCATAATCTCCTCGGTCGGCAAGTACTCTAATGTACACAATTTTCATGATGACTCCCACGAAGGCGCTGCAAGAAGTGAAAATTAAAAAAAATGTGGTGGACAAGGCTAGAAGTATAACTCACAGTAAACTAAGGCTTAACAAGAAAACCAAACCAAATTTCGTACGACGATTCATTTGTAAACTCCACAACATTGTTGCCGGTAGACAAGTCAGAAGAAAATCTGTGTGGCCATTCCAACTTGTGTGTGCGTAGCCAATATACTAATGTGTCATTAGAAATGATTCCAGTATTTATGTGTCTAAACTCACAGTTTGGTAAGACTCAGGCCAGCATGAAGATACATTCGATGTGTCCCACAGAGCTTGAATATCATTACATTGAACGTACAATGTGATGACAACAATACAATTTGGAATAAATTCTACCCAAAATAATGTCCATAGAGCTGCGTGCTTTAATTTAGAAGTTCCAAATAGTTGTAGCATGAGGATAATGAAGGACATGAGACCAAAAGTTGAGCCCATGACACCTGGCGCACATAAATGTTAGGAAGATATCTGGTACAGAAACTTGCACTAGAGCGAAATTACCAGAAGATTGTCCAATTGCGCTATATTTCATTGCCTCAATCCTATGGAATGGATCGAGATATGCGTAATGTCGTCCCCAGCCATAGTGATATTGTACTGCGATCAAAGCTGCCATGGAAGAAATGGTACACTTCATCATTAGTTATGATTCATGGCTCATGAGTAGAGAGTATACCATCGATACAACGACCAAAGCATCACTAAGTCCCAGTTGACGGATGATGAATCTTTGCGTCATGCATCTTGCGATAACAATGGTGATTGAGACAGCATTGAGAGCCAAGATCACAGCCGGACCTTTTCCGTCTATGAACAGAGTTAGCGATAGCGAGCCATTGAAGATTTGAAGCAGCTCACCGATGTTAATATCAGGCCCCACAGCTGTCATGTTGGAACGTCGATTGTAACTTACTCAAAGTATATCTCGACCGACAACCGAAAGAGCGGAGTCTAAGCAGGTAAAAGTAAACATTGGGAAAACATATTACCACGGTTAGTTTGTCGGGGCTCATAAAGATCCATCAATCATAGAACCCACCAAGAAAGATCGGATGAACCGTTTTTTCCCTATCCGTTCGTGTAGGTGGATAAGTCCCCATGTGGAAAGGAAACCGTTCGAACAAACCTCTCATCCAAGTTAAAATCTTGACCCACACCACAATCTGACATACAGGCCCTAGGGGTATCAAAGCCTAGCTGTCCTACAAAGGAATCGTTCTCCAGATGCTTAAACCGTTCTGGTCTACGAAACACAGCCAAAAACTTTCCTCACAAATAATTGATACCCACAAGCACTTTGCAACACAAGATTATCGGATGATGTTCTCTAGAATATATCCGCATGCAACTATAAAGCTTATGACAGCTTGCATCTGGTGTGGTAGGTTAAGAGGTTCATATGAATTTTTTGAAGACAATGGGTTCGGCAATCTTTGGTTCAGGTTTAGGCGAAACCAATAGGTACCTGCATCTGACTGATTATTATCGTATGAAACTTTCAGTGCTTTGGTTGATATGAAACCTGCAAATGATTTCCGCCATGCAAAACCTAGGAAACACCTTGCGATTTTTGATTCCCATACAGCAAATTAGCCAATATCTTCGATGTTAATGGATAGGTATATAGAGAGAGGGTCCAGAATCTCGGCTCAAATCAAGATCAGCAGGCTTGAGAAGAACGGACGACAAGATGAGAAAGACATCGGCTTTAACCCAACACTGGCCTCGTGGGACCACTTGCTCAAAGGGCCATTCTGATTTGTCTTCGGATGGAACCAAGTTCGCCCAAGTGATTTTTGAATGTAACTAGAAGCTCTTGATTCCATATAAATAGACATTATAAAGGAATATAAGCGGGTCCCTTGCTATAACACATGTATTGTATGCAAAGCTCGGAGAATGCCTCGAGAATGCATACTACCATCCATCATCCACATTGTTATTCAAGTTGCATGCTAAGTCACACAATGTAAGCAAATCCAGTAACTGCCGAGATGAACAAAACATTAAAATATACCCTACTTTTTAGATGGGTTATCGCACTGCGAAATCCCTGATCATATAGGGATAGAAGTACACCTAGAAGAATTTGAAATCCATCTCATGATTCCAGGCCTTACCAGAAAAAAGTGTGAATACTCCGATGCATAATGTTCCGAGATATTCAGGTACCTCGGGCACGTGCATATAAATCAACGTTCATATTCGGCCACGAATCCCTGAATTGGTGGTGCATTTTGCTCAGATATTTGAAATGGGAATGTGAATGTAAGCGAGCTAGACTAGATTGCCCGAATTTGACTCTCCGGACGCAGAAACATGGTAGCATCTGCATTTGGGGCATGGATTAATCCATGATAACCCGCCCATGTGAAAAGATTCCAGTGATGTGTGGATTAACAAAGATACCGTTGCTTCAATTGACATGTCAGCGAGGTGCGTAGGGAGTGAAGGACTTCAGAGTTTCAAATGTTGCCGAAATCTTAAACAAGCAAGTGTACATTAAAGCTGGTGTGCAAACTGCAGGTGAGATATGAAACATGGGTGGGCACTCGCCACCCGAGCCAAACCGCATTGCTAAGCTCACTGGACTTTCTGCTTATTGAATCTCATACTTCGTTCGAATTCTATGTGCTAATTATCTTTGATATTATATTATTCTCTGTCCCCATTTCCTCGCTCTCTGGTTACGGGTTCAGACCGTGACAAAGTCGACGGACTGGATGTGTAGCATTATGATAGACATGACAAGAAGCTGAGTGCCTAGGAGCGGATATTGATCACGCTCTACCGACTGGTTCATGTTATCGGGTGACCTGTGAAAATGAAGTTCGTGGAGGACTTTTCAATCGTCAGGGAGTATGCTCTTGGGATCGAGTCCAATCTCTTCACCGAGTTTTCTAACGACAGTCTTCAATGCCGTGCAGGCTGGACTATCAGGCCAAGCATCGAAAAAGCTCTCGCCATAATCGCACGACATCCCAATTCGAGGATCTAGTGGTACAGCCCCCAAGAAAGGGATGTTCATCTCTTTAGCCAAAGCTCTCGCGCCTCCCGTTGTTGCTTGGAAAATTTGACTTTCGTGCGTACATTTTGGGCAGACAAATCCTGACATGTTTTCCACAATCCCTAATACCTTAATCCCCGCCTTCCGACAAAAATCGATCTCTTTTCTAACATCTAACAGTGAAACTTCCTGTGGCGTTGTAACTACCAAAGCCCCATCTACCCCACTCTCCTTAAGGAATGAATTCACACTCAAATGTTCATCACTGGTTCCTGGGGGTGTGTCCACTAATAAGAAATCCATCTCTCCCCACTCTACATCCTTCAGGAATTGCTTGATCAATCCATTCTTCTTTGGTCCTCTCCATATTACGGCATCGTCTCGATTGGGTAACATAAACTGCACACTCATCACACCCAAATTCTCCATAACCCATACTGGACTCCAACCTGCACCACTAACATGTATCTGCTCCGTTTCTACTCCCATCATTTTGGGTATGCTCGGACCACAGATATCAGTATCCATAATTCCTACTGTATTGTCTTCATTTGTTGCAAAGGCATGTGCAAGCAAACTTGTAAATGTGCTTTTTCCTACACCACCCTTCCCCGACAGAATTAAGACTTTATGTTTGATGCCAGCGAGACGTGCAGTTATAGCTGGAATATCGGGATCGGGACCTTTAGGTGCAGATGCGCATATAGCTTGGTTGGGACAGCCGGCGCAAGAATCTGCCTTTCCCGCAGCTTCGGACTCTGGACCGGGACAATGTTCCGGTTCTGGGGCGACAAGTTTGAGAGCATTTTTGAGAGGATTTGAGAGGACGTCTTGCACAGCATCTGGCCTTTCCTCAAGAGATGGAGCCATGATTTACTGCGACAAAATCAGAATAAAGTTGTGAATTATTGATTGAATGTAAGATGTGGGATGGTCGATGGGATAACAAAGTCGTTGGATGTTTACAAAGCAACAATGGAATTTTGCCAACCTAAAGATAAGACTGGTTTATAATACCATTGACTTAATTGGTAAGGCGGTGAGGTTGTTTCTCCGATTGCCGGCGGGGTAGTTATCACCCATTTGAATTTATCGGTCTCTGCAAACGCTCATCTCTATCAGTCTTCTTAAGCTCTCCAGCTATTGAAACAACCGATGGATTGAGGAGCTAGTCCGTCTCTTTCTCAAAATAAAGATTGTAAGACTGTAAGACTCTATCAAATTTTATACTCTCTCACCTCTATTTGTTGAATCGCTCATCATGAGGAATGCTACCCGCAAAACTCCAGACAGAAGCGCTGTACTTTTGACTGAGCTTATTCCAGTACCCAATTACCTATTCGAAGAGGTTCTTTGAGAGATCGACATGTGTCAGACGTTGAGCTAAGCCTCAGAGGACATCGTGTTGAAGTTTTCTACCATCTTCGTGTCTGAACCTCGTACCTCTCTTCTGTCACACCCGTTCTGTGACCATTTTTCCAGCTCGTTCGCTAGCTTTGTCAATTCTAACACCATCACTTACCCGTTGGCTATCGCCTCAAATGTTCAAATGAATATGGAGTTTCGATATTGCGGCTTCACACAAGCAAATGACTTGGTTGATGTTTCCATCATCTCAACGTTAACTTAACGACGAACGAGAACCTGTCTCTGAATGCACTGTAGCGTTCATATGCTCTGGTGGGTAAAGTCTTCGGTAAGACAGAGGTGCTCAAACTATACCTTGAGTCTTGTTATGGATACCAATCCCCCACGACAAAGACTCTATTTGTGAAAGACGGTAAGACAGTACTTTCGAGGGGAACCTGGCACAGGCACGGCAACCTTCGAGTCGTCCTTATCAACTGGATATTCTCCGTCATTTTCAAGGGGCAGGTCTCTCATTGGCTCCGCTCCTGGTTACCATGTATCAAAAGCCCGAAACTGGATGACAGAAATGCTACTGTAGTGTTTTGTGAGTAACACGACAGATCACAAAAACGTGGATGATAGGGGATGGTAAGGTAAGACGGGATCCTTCCGTCAACCCGAGCCTTGTACAGAGGAATCTGAGAGGATGAATCTGATACAATAAACTTTATACTTTTAATGTTCTCCATCTTTCCCCAGATATGATTTTGGTCGGTTCCCCCAAAAGAATGGGGATTTTGGAGGAATCCTTGACCATGCATATAAAATCACATCATTGATCGTCCATTTGACTGGATCTTTCACATGTCAATTAATTGGGATTTGATTCTACTGAATTCTATCTGAATTTTTTTGTTGAGAACCATCTCGTGCATATTTAGATTGAACACGGAAGAATATCGTATGTGTTGGCAGCTTCCTAGAATATCTAAGAACGACCTACGGACAATAGATAGAGGGTGTTAAGATAGAGACAGAGACAATTGTAGTAGGAGTTGTGATGTGCAGTAATTATGGACAGAATTTGATTGATTAGATAGGATAGTCAAGAGGAAACAGTAATTAGCAAAAATCCCCCACGCGTTTCCCCAACTTTCATCGTCACATCAAGCCAAAAAATAAAAAAGAATGAACATCAAATATGTCATACCTTCCTCAAAAAATCATTCATACATACTACGTACATACATACATACTGTCGAGTATCTACGAGCTACTTCATGATTGATCAATATGACAAACAAAAATCCATATTCATATCTAAACTGGTCCCCGATATCCCATTTCCCACCAAGAATCAAATGTCAAAACGGCCGTATTTCTTTGTGCTGAGCAATATAATTCGTCAGAATTACCTCCACTCTGATCGTTTCGGAGAGACGCGAGGTGCAACTTAATCAACGAACCCCATTGAATTGAAATCGAACAACCTTGATCTCGCAGAAAAGGACAGCATCAGCATACGGTTCAACCCACTTCTATAAATTCAACATTTAGAAAATAACTATCTATATGGTTAACATAAATAAGTACATGCTAACCTCCACTTCACTTACATTCTTTACACCAACGTGTTGTTTCATCGAAACCACCTAGGACTCCTCGATTGACAGACCTCACGTCTCAAGGACATTATATTGCCGTTTTCAACACGGTAGAGTCCATTCGACATGAGTACTTCTTCGATGAAGTCTCCAGATTTGAATGGCTTACGGGAGCGAATCAACAATGTTCCTACCACAAATGAGGATAATATGACAGCCCGCGGCGGTTCCGAGCCACCGTCCGAAGACTTCGAACATGACAAAGACAAGAAGACCTTTGGCAGAACGCCGGATGGTACCAGTAAGTGAAGGGTTTCTTTCAACGATTGTACATGCCAGTAACAATTTGGAAACCCCAAGCTAACAGAGCCACAGTATTTACAGTGCCCCAGACTCATGATATGGTTTCTCAATTGCTCGATCCTCGACAACCCAAGAACCTCTCGGATGCAATCGTATTGGTCATACTTGCCCTTCATATATTCGCACTCTATGCGCTGCCGAGTTCATTGAAGAGACCGGTATTCGCAGTCTTGTTCCTTTTCTGGCGAGGGTGTTACAATGTTGGCATTGGATATCTCCTTCACATCCAATCACACCACAAAAGAATAGTAGCATGGACAAAGAAGTGGAATCTATTTGAAAACCCGATTACTGGCAAAAATCCTCGACCATGGTTATACAACTTGATCAAGACTGAATTAGAGACTAAAATACCAGATGATTACAAATTTGAGGAGGCTCCCATTGAGTATAATACATGGCTAGTCTTTCGAAGGGTGGTGGATCTCATTCTGATGTGTGATTTCACTTCATACTGTCTCTTTGCGATTGCTTGTGGGGGCGCACCATCCGATGAAAGTCTGATCATGTCAACACTCCGATGGGGTGCAGGAATCATACTCGTTTTGTTTAACCTATGGGTTAAGCTTGACGCACATCGCGTCGTAAAAGATTATGCATGGTACTGGGGTGACTTCTTTTACCTGATCGATCAAGAATTGACTTTTGATGGTGTTTTTGAAATGGCACCTCATCCAATGTATTCTGTTGGATATGCTGGTTATTATGGGATCTCAATGATGGCTGCAAGCTACAGCGTGCTAGCAATTTCGATCGTTGCACATATGGCTCAATTCGCATTTCTACTCGTTGTGGAGAATCCTCACATCGACAAAACATACAATCCTCCGCCTCCCAGAAAGCACCAAGATAATCCAACCCCAAGCGACATCGATCATGCAAATGCACTAGCATCAAGTAAAGAGGGTCTTGAATATAGCGTAGATTCATCGCCCACACAAACACCACCGCTTAATACTACTCAACCATTAGCAGTCCATAATCTCATGGGATTGGGCAACATTGATCTTTTCCGGATCACAGATGTTTCCATTCTCCTACTCTTAGGTTACGTCTTTCTCATTACTGCTCTTACACCCTCGACTCCAGTTTACCAGGCACTTTTTGTAATCAGCGCTATATTTTGGCGTTTGTGGTACTCGGTGGGTCTCGGAATAATTCTTGACAGACAATCAAACAAGAAGATGTGGACCCGACATTTCGTCAAATATGGTGATAGCACAGAAGAAGCTTGGAGACAATGGAAAGGAATGTATCACTTAAGCATGACAATGTGCTACGCAAGTTTCATTGCCGCAACCTGGAAGATGTACTCAATGCCATCTGATTGGGCTTATGGTCTTGTTTTGTTGCGACATGTCCTAGGTGCTGGTTTAGTTTCGCTTCAGCTCTGGACGGCTATCAGTATCTATGAGTCTTTGGGTGAATTTGGATGGTTCTTTGGAGACTTTTTCTTCGACCACGCTCCCAAACTCACGTACAGCGGTATCTATCGATACCTTAATAACCCAGAACGTATCATCGGGCTTGCTGGTATCTGGGGAGCAGTTTTCATCACAGGAAGCCGAGCTATATTTTTCTTGGCGCTTCTCAGCCACACGCTTACACTTGCGTTCCTTCAATTCGTCGAAAAGCCTCACATGCAAAAGTTATATGGGCGAAATCTTCGATTAGAAGCTGGTCTATCAAAAAGCATCAAGAGATCATTGCCACCTCAAATCAAAAAATGGCATGGGAATGTTGATCGAGTTTTGGAAGAAACTGGCCATTTTGTCGAAGAATTTTTGGATGCTGCCCGACCCAAATTTGCGGCGGGTGTTTCGACCATCTTCAGAGACACCTCTGCACTCTTCAGTCAATATCCCGCTCGTCTAACATTGACAAGAATTGCACCAGACTTGGCCGGTTTTGATCCTAGAGATTACTCTGTTACGATCGAGGGTACATCGTTTGACTCGGCCATGCACAAGCGCACAACTTCTAAGGAAGGAATCACGGCCCGCCTTCCACAAGAACGAATGGACGGATTCAAACCTCTCGTTTTCGAATATGGTGCACCGATCAAGGTGAAATGGACAGCACCAATAAAACATAGTAAAGCTGATTGGGTAGGTATGTATATGGTAGCTGACAATGCATCTCGAGAGGTGACTCGAATTCCTTCAGCGGGCCGCTGGGTTGCCACGGTCCCTAATGAATACGAGTCCAGTCCGGCAGATAAAGGCATTCTCGTTTCGAATAGGTTTGTTTCAGGCGCAAAACGTATGGATGGCTCAACTCAAGATTACATGGAAGGAGAAATGATTTTTGAGGGCGACAAGCTCTTCTGGACCCAAGGAGTCTTCGAATTCCGTTACCACCATGATGGTAAACACAATGTCATGGCAATCTCACTCCCATTCGAAATCCGCATTCCCCGATTTGACGACGAAAACTCAAACTTAAACATTTCTCTTGATTCGGACAACTCTCAATCCCAATCTCTCATCCGCAGTGCAGTCGAGCAAGCTTTACTACCCGTAGTGCGCAATTGCTTCGATCGAAACCCAGATATTGCTCCTAACTCTGTAGATGAAAGTTTCGGGGTATTGGTAGCAAGAGACGGGAAATACTCAAGACGCGTAGTCCATGCTGTTCATTATATGTTTGGTATCGAGTTTGCGCCTGAAGTGGTCAGAGCAGATGGAAACGTAAGGAATTTGGCCTGGAGAATTTGTAATGCGAAGCAGGTATTGGTATGCAGATTTTCTCAAACTCGTCCGAGGTCACTTTCTCGACCGGCTTCATTACGTCAAAATACTTAAATTTCTTTTCCACTTTCATTACTTTTCTACTTTCATTATCCTCAACACATCGACTTTCGAAACGAGCCATTAGTTTTGGGATTTTAATTTTTTTTTTCCATCTTTATTTCCTTTACTATGATATCCTGGGGTTTAGACAGAACGATTCGAAGCAATTCGAAGGATAAGATTGGAGAAATTATCAACATTAGAGAGAATAGGCATTGACCAAAACGTTCGCAGGCACCATATAGCATGTCACACTCCAAGGGGACGAATACACCTGACGCTGAGGGGGAAAAGGCTTAGAGGATTAGTCGTAGAATTGTGGAGGATTTTGGTGGAAAAATGCCAGTGGATGATTACATGGGAATGATATTTGCATGATAGATTTCTATGAGATATGGCATGGGAAACGGGGTAGGATGGGATGTAATGTGTGGGTAATAGTTGAAATAGAGATACCCTGTAGTGGCTTGATTGATTTAAACTCACGAGCATTATATTAATCTCACAAAATCAAAAAGAATTAGGTTCACAGACGAGATCAATTTTTATACACTATATTTGCGTTTTTGGAGATTGATTATGAATGCCCAGGCTCATTATTGATATTGATATTCACATTATATTTGTGATTATTCATATACCCCTCCAAATTCAACTCTAGCCAACCTATCCATCTGTCTCTGTAGCCAAGCCCAGTCCAGTCCAGCCAGACCCAAGCAAATCCGAAAGAGTAAAAGCGAGGCAAAAAGTACTTGGTAAATTTCTGCTTGATATGCAATATGCATGCAAGACGCAAATGACACAACTCTGCAGTATCTGTTCATCTGTCCGCTCCTTCCTGCTCTGCTCTGCTCTGTTTGTACAATTTTTTCCTCCGCTGGTGTGTGTGATTCATTTTTTTGTAATTCGATCGTTCGTTTGGTTGTTCGCTCCTTCCTTCTGTCCTCATTATTCTGGACTGTATGTGAAGCTCTTCCCTTCTTCCCTTCATTCCTTCCTTCCTATCTCGTTACCCCGACACGGGTTGCTGGCACTCTCTTTCTAACTTCAATTTCTAATTCCGTTGAATCTATTCTATCGCATTGCATCCCACTCCACGAAAAAAAAAAGCTCCTGCTCCCATGACTCCCATCTCTCTCAACATCTAAAAAATCCTCCCACCATAGGCTGATATCAAATCTCAAACTCAAATCTCCAACCATTAAACCACCAAACCCTCAAACCAAAACCAAATTCAACACCCACCCCCCGCCAAACCAACCCCATGCAGCAGTCGCTAACGAGAAAACTATGATAAACTGGAGGAAGAGAATTATGGTTTCGTGTTCTTCCTCCCTTTCTTGTTCTTTGGTGGGGTTGAGGTTGTGATTCGGGTAACCGAGTTCCCAGATTTCGGAACCGGGAAGTTCGTGGAGGTTTGGGGTGAGGTCGGGACTGAGGGACTGGGTGAAACGTGGAGATGGAGATGGGGAGGAGAACGAGGGGAGGATTTCTGGTCCCTCTGGTGAAGACTCAGCATTGGATTCGCAATCGGGATCTGATTCGCATTCTGATTCGGAGTTGTAATCGAATTCCCAGATCTCTTTGTAAGAAACCTTTTCCCTTTTCTTCTTCGTTTTTGCTTCTGGGGTCGGAGGAGGTGTGGGGTAGAGAAATTCGACGATGCTGAGGAGGTCAGGGAGATCGGTTTCGGTGGGCGGTGGCGGGGTTGTTGGGGCGGTATGTGTGGTGGGCTTGGGAGTGTCTGGAGTTTCCTGCGTTTTGTTTTTGGGATCTGCAGGTTCTTTGCCGGGTTTGGACTTGGGCATTTCCTTTGGGGTCGTTTCTTTTGGGGTCGTTTCTCGAATATCTGGAATCTTCTCATCCGCGTCCTTCGTATCCGAGTCCTCTCTGTCGCTTTTCAGAATTATCTCTGCAGGGGGCGATATATTTTTGATATCAGTGGAATCTGCCTGTGGAAATGATACTGCCTCTTCGGGCGCAGACAGATTTTCATCCTTGACATCCCATATCTCTTGATTTTTTTTGGCAATCGTCTCTGGAGCGATCGGAGCCTTTTCAAGTCCAGAAGAAGACATACTTGACAATATTCCTGTCATCGCAGATGCAGACAATTCTTCAAATTCCTCAAGCCTTTTGATTTGTTCGGACTCTTCCGATCTTCTAGGCTTTCTTCTCTCTTCCTCTCTGTCTGAAAATACGCCTTCGGATCCATTTTCATCCCCGGAATCCTCCTCACTACCAGACCCATTGAATTCAAATTCAAGACCCAACCTTTCCCCCACAATTTGGGAACTTCTGGTACCGAAATCTATTTCCTCCCAAGGTACTCCCTCTTCCTCGTCCAATCCATCCAAACTCATACTCAGCCCCATGTTTTTGACTTTTCTCTTAATGGTTGCTGCCACCTCTTTTTTGACCATCTTCAATTCGCTCTCCAGACTTTTCATTCTCATATCATCGCTCAAGGCTTGGATCTCCTGAGCAGTAGTACTGTGAGCTTTTGAAAGTTTGTCACAGTCGTTGCGCATTTTCTCAAATCGCTCCCGATCTCTTGAAAGCTTGTCAGAGTCTTTGTGCATTTCCTCAAAACGCTCCCGATCTTTCAGTTGAGATTGGTGAAGTAAGTGAGCACGACGGCCATGATCGTAGGCGCGTCGTCTGGTTGAGCCAGTGAGCGTTTTACGAATCCGCTCCAGGTTATCATAGTGATGTGATGGGTGTGAAGATGGATTTTGTACTGTAAAGGCTGTTAGTTTGGGGTTTGTGTGTTTGGAGTCAAGTGAATCAAAATTGCTTGAAGGGTAATTTTAGGATTGAATGAATAGAAGGGAAATCTTACTGAGCTTCTGAAACGCCTCTTCAATTTCCTCTGTGGTAACATCAGGACTTTCCGGCAGTCCAAGGATATGGTAGTACGACGTAGTGTACCGAGTTGGCGCCTCGGGTTTCGCTACGGACTTTGGGTAGAATCCGGGTTCGGGTGATGAGCTCCGGTCATAATCTATGAATTGATCGGAGGTGGTACCGATCACAGGAGCTGTCGCTGATCGACGTGCTAGAGGTGGGACTGGCACATTCTTGATATCCATGGAAATCGACCGAGCTGTTTGCCAAGTTTGGTATTTTTTCATCTCTGTTGGGAGAGGAAGAGGAAGTGGACGTGGTGTTTGTTGGGAGGGGGAGACTGATGGAAAGGGAAGATGAGATCGTTGTCGTCTGTGGGAAGCCATTTTGATATTTTTTGGTGTTGTATTTTGTTGTTGTCAAAGTATTGATAAGTAGAATAAGAGACAAGTTGGTATGATAAGATAATAGAATCCAAAGTGTGACAATTCCTATCACGGTGCAAATGTAATTGTTGGAATTTGACAAGTTGTTAAGGTGGAGAAAGTTTGGACTTTATCGTGACCTGCAAAACTGGTCCCGTTCCTGGTACCTTTTGCAATCGAAGAAAGGATTGTAATGAAGAAGAAGAAACAACAATTCCCAAGAAGATGCTTTTATGGCAGAAACAAAAAATGAGTGAAGAACAATACCGTATTGATACATGGGCTACTGAGGGGAAACACTATAATCGATGAAGGACTCGTACTAGCGAGATGAAAATGAGAAGAAGAGGTTGAGTGAATTTGATGTGTGGCGTAAGTACGGTTCTGGTGGGGGTGCGTGACTGGATTTTGAAGGTGAAGTGAATTCTTTTCTTTTTTTTTTTTTTTTTTTGAGAGTTGGTGGGGGGAAACTGGAGTGAAGGTTGGAGTTTTTAGTGCGAGATGTGGTGTATGAGGGTGAAGTCAAGCGAAGCGAAGTGAAGCGAAGTGAAGTGAAGTGAAGTGAAGTGAAGTGAAGGTTGAAATTCGATGTGGGGTCGGAGTTGGAGAGGAATATGACGAGTGATTGAAGTGAAGTTTCAAGTGGAGTGAAGTGAGATGAGGTGAAAAAGTGAAGAAAGGAATTGATAGCTAGAGACAATGCATAGAATGCGTAAAGTGATGTAATGCGTACTAGTATGTTATATGTATGTATGGATAGAGCAAAGTGAGGTTTGAAATGAAACAAGAGTGTGAATATGAATTGGCTGGTAAAAGTCAGATGATACAATGCAAAGCTACTTATTACTCATAGAAAAAGAAAATTCGAACATTGAGGTTTCTTTTCCTGTATACCTAGGTAGGGAGGTAAGGGAAAGTTGCAGGTTGCAGGTGTGTCGATCGTCATGATTCTTTTCTTTTGGAGGTGTTTAAGATTTTGCTTTTTTTGCTTTTTTGGTGGTGGGATGGAGGGGGATGGAGGGGTAGGGAGTTGATCTGGAAGATGGTTGAGTTATATGGTAAGGGTTGGGAACTGACAATTTCCTTTGGGTTTGTGTTTTTGGTTGTGTTGCAGAGGATGTGGTATATAAGCAACTATCTACTTTGTAGAACTTCAAGTTTGAAAGTTGGAGATTCTGGATTCTGGATTCTGGAGTCATCGAGATGATGGAGTTTTGGTATCTTAGATGTACGGATACCTAAAGTGTGAGATTTCTACGGCTTGTTGGTTGTATACTTAGCCTAGTTGATTCTTTTATGCTTCTAGCAACAGAGGTTTTTCATTAGAAACTATCAATTTAGTCTTGACTTCGAATGGAAGTACCAACAAAGAATCTAGATTCACTTACAGCAGACTACAAGGGTCTTTTCGCTTTCCCCTCTCTTCCATATCTAATATAACCCCCTCGTATCCGGTCTGCCAGGTTCCGTATTCTCCCATCTCCCTTCATTCCACCCTCCGTACCGTCGATCACTTCGATTACTTCCAACTCGACCACTTCCTCCATTTAAACTTCTCTCTGCCAATACCCATTCTCTAAAGTCTCTCTCCCTCTCCATCTTCATACCCCTACACTCTCCCAAAACCTCCCACGCCCTCTCAAGAAACATCCATTCATCCTCAATCCTATCCTGTTCTTGAGAAATCGCGTCCTGCAATTCTATTATCCCGTCGATTTTCCTCTGAATCTCCATTTCCATTTGTATTTTCCTATCCCTCTCCTTATTCTCGATACCTTTTCTACTACTTCTTGTAGCTGCGAAGATCCCATTTCCTTCACCGTATCTTTTTGAAAAGTCTTCAGATCTTCCACGTCTCGAAAAATCCGCTTCATTTTTCTTTCTGCTTCTTGTATTTTCCCCTTTGTTGACTGATAAGCTAGGACTGTTGTCATAACTATTTCTCTGCTGTCGTTGTCGTCGTCGTGGAGAGCTATTCACATCGTCGGGCGAGAGTTTGATAGGTGAGCTAGCAGAATCTGGACGATAATACCATCCTGGAACATGGTGACACGGCTTGCTAATATTGCTAGTCTGGCGAGAATGACTGGGGAAGAAAGTGTGAGGGTGAGGAAAGAGATTGAGGACGGTGTTCATGACTAGGGGTTAATTTAATCGTCGACGAGTTGATTTGATTCTATTGGAATCTGGGGAAGGTTGATTCCAAAGAGGGATTCCAAATGAATGTAAGATGGAAATGCCTGATGCCTTTAAGTATGACTGCCACTTGGTGAAATTCACAGTTGATGAAAAGATAGAAGCATGATCCTCTCTGATCATCGAATACCTGGAAAGAAAATTCCTTCTCGTCCAAAAAGTCTCATGTGATGGATATTGAGATGGAATGAAAGTTTGCTCACGCTATGGCAGACTTAGTGACGAAATTCATGGAAAGGTTTGATGCCTGGAATATGATATAAAGAAACTGGCAATCATATATGAAAAGGGAGGTCATCAGCATATGGAAACTAGTGTATCTAAAGACGACTGAAAGGAAAAGCCAGACCAATCAAAACATATCAATCGCATGAAAACACTCGCAAAAGTCAACATGAAACGGATTAACTCATCGATTATCATGGGGTGGGCAGGAATAGACTCCCCTTCTTCTGATCATAGCAGCTGACGTCAAACGCTTTTGATATATCCCACAATCAGAACAATCATCACTAAGGTCCTAATCCTCCTAAATAGCCTTCAACTCAAAAATAATCTCCCTCTCTGTTGCTTTTCGATCCCTCTCTTCCAAGTATTCGAAAAGCTCAACCCATTCCTTGATATTCAGATGCTTATAAGGACCTTCTTTGGGATCACTAAAATATGCCTGCAAATCTTCATAGCCCTCTGAAATTTTCCATCTCTCTTCATATATTTCCTGCACCAGCTTTGGGTCGAATCTGAAATCTGATTCGCGGGCAGGTCTCAGATGAGGTGGGATGTCTTCATATTGAGAGTGTGCTGAAGCAGGGAGGGGGAACCTGTCTGAACTAGGAGAATCTACACGCTGAGTTGTTCGACGGAATTCTTGGTATGTGGGGATCGTATCGCTGGGCGTGAATGGTTGTCGACCGGCGTTAATTCGTTCGTCCCAGAGTTTGGCGACTTCGGGATTGGTGGGCACGGAGGTGCGATCTAGGGATCTGGCTCTTTTTCGATGAATGTATCCTGTGCTTGAGGGATGGTGTCGACTGAATCTACTGTCGTCTTTCTGGGTTGCGTAGAAGAGATCTAGATTTTGGGGGGATTTGGATGCAGGTCTATAGATTTCTTGGTCGAGACCGCTGATTATAGATGACGATCTTGTGTTTCGGGTTTGAGATTTTGCTCGAGACGAATCAGGAGGTGCTAACAGTTGTGGTTGATATTTTTGGGAATGAGAAGTCTTGACATCTGGTTGTTGGGGATTTTGGGACAGGGCATTGATTGTTGGGACAACGTAATGTACAGATTTACCTGGGCGAAAATCTTCTGTGTACTCCGGAAAAAGCTCCGATGTGCCCTCTTCCAGGGGAGATTGGGTAAGTTCTGAAAGACGAATCGATTTGGGTGAGCGGGAAGGTTCAGGATGTCTATCTTCCTGATATGCCGAAGATTTAGGGGTAGAATCTCGAGATACATGAAGGGGACCGGGTAGAGCGCTATCAGGATATATGGAAGATGGAGAACCAATCATTTCTCGCAAGTCACGCTGAAAGCGCGCAGAAAGGGGTACAGGAATGTCAACATCATATTCAGAATACTTGGAAGATACTCTCCTATCGTTCTGAGCTGTGAATTCTGGTACTGGAAGCGTCTGATTCGAACCAGATGCGAGAGGGTATGCTAATGGATGAGATTGAACTGGAGATTGCGTAGCTGCTACCTGAGGCGAGTCTGATGGAAAGAAGGATGCAAGGAGATCTTCTCTAGGACGTGCAGTCTGAGGATAAGCGGTTGAGACATCTTCATCGACCCATATAGAGTTGCGTGTTGGCAATGATACCGCGGTAAGTGGTTGTTCTGGGTTGGCTGGTGGGTCTGATGAGGTTTCATTCAACCTAGGCCATGCAGTCGTAGGAGCAGAGTTGCTGGGATCCATTGTGAAACTTTCTTTTGAGGTTGCTCAATACCTACTCTCGAGAGGAATTGAAAACAGTCAAAAAGTACTGTATCGGAGAGTAATAAGTACTTTGAGTCATCCCTGGAGTGCATCGAGACCACACCATTTTTGCTTGGCTATATTTTCCAAGTCGAGTGAATGCCACAGAATCATATCATACCCTTCTAACTCGTTAATTCCATCAATCTTCATCTTCTCCTTTCATAAAGCCCATGTGTAACCTCCACCACTTTCTCAACTCCTCGTCCTTCCCAACCTCTATCCCATAATCCTTTAAACTCTCCAATTGCTTAACCTTCCCAGCGGGTACATCTAACCTCCTCCCATCCACCTCTTCCTTTTTCATCAATTCGAAATTCTTGTACCTCAGATTCTGTATTTTCAATACATCATCAGCCGTTCATCCGCATCTCAAGTATGCTCCATTTTCTAACTAGACAGTTCGATTCCTAGTCAAAAAAAATGCACGAGCTTGAACCTACCTTCACAACGTCTAACCATTGTTCTGCATTCCCAATTTCTCCTTCCGCCAGCATCACTCCGGGTGGCCTTCCAGTCTTTAACAATACTGCACAGTCTAGTTTCTTTGCTGATTTGGTTATCTTTTCAATCTTTTTGACGGATGTCATGTGATGAGTTTTGATCAGAATTCTGGCTAGATTTCGACCTAGCAACATTGTTACAGCCTTTTGTGTCTGTAGAGATTGGTCTTTCCGTAAGTACTCAACATCACTGTATCGTACTCTGTAAAGTCCTTTATTTGTTGATAGCTGCTCCGGCATACGCAACAAAAATGATAAATGCTGGAAACTTGGTCATGTGCGGGTGGTGGAGCTGATTATGTCATGGAAGCTTGAAGCGGCCCCTCACCCGCTAGTCCATAAACCTAAATGAGTAACTTAAAAAAAATCTAGCCTTGTTTTCTTTTCCTGCTTCTTCTTCTTCAATTCTAATCACAATTATCAACCATTGAATGAACACATTGCAACTTGTGCTGTCTTCCTAATGCGCATAGAAATGGAATAACAGAGGTATTGCAGGTGGTGAGGTCGGGCTGGTAACCTTCTTCACCATCTCGCGCCGATATTTCCATCAGTTCTTGCTACTTCATCTTTCAACACATGTATGCTGAACGCAACAACGCAGGAAAGGTTAGTCAAAATTATCTTTTCACATATCGCATACCATCCACAAGCTTTGTGATGAACAAATCATAGCTTTTTAACCCCGAGTGCATCGCACCCTGAAGACCAAAAAACAACAACTCTAATTTTTTCCTGAATGCTTTCAATTGTACTATCTTGTCATACAATATAACATGATCATGATCACTTGCTGACAAGTCATACAGAAAACTTCATTGAATGGAGGTCTTAAGATCATCCTTGTTATCGGCATCATTACTGTATTGGATGACTGCTGCGTTGCAGAACTTTGCGCGATCTCATACTGTTCTGCAGCCCTACTGGGCGTTGATTGCGATTGAAAAATATAAAGACAGGGTCATATTGGGCTTCAGGATTATTGTCAACATGTTGAGGGATCGTAATGGCGCTACAGCTTACGGACTCATCTAGGCCAGTATGCTATCCACTGTTTTGAATAAGAAACTTTCCGAGCGCAAAGCAATACGGTGAGTTCTTTTAAGATTTAGTTAAATGAATGGAATACAATTTACAAATTTCACACCTGAACACTACCATGAAGTCACCTGAATGACACCGTGCTTGCAACTTTTAGAATTCAATGAGACGTATTTCTTAATGTGGCTGCACTTGTGAAGAAGAATGACTTCCAGAACATCTCATTTCCTTTGGGTGTGAGATTGAATGACAAATAAAATGTATGCCTCTGGATGCAATTGTCAGGGCGTCATGCGGAGTAATGCTTCGGCCCCTCTATTCCTCATATTCATGTTAGAAAGCTCCAGCGAGAAAAGGCCCATCTATTTGAATTTGAGTGTCTACGGGAACTCTGTTCTATACCGCTAGTCATAATTGATATCCATTGATCCCGAGGTTGCCATAACCTCTCCAGGAGTTTGCGATGAGGTCGATGCTATCACCGATAAAGAGCCAGGCCGGCCACCACCGACGGGTGAGACTAATGGCTCTTTGGCGCCAATTAAACAGCAGCAAAACTCGAAATTGCTCAAATGTTATGTCGATCTGTGAATGATGGCATGCTAAGTATATATATCTGGTCGCTCAAAGCAGGACTTAAACTGGTGTGATCGTTGATAGATTGCCTAACACTTCACGATTTCGACAAACAACCACTTTTTTTTGTAAATGAACAATGGAACTTTGCTAGTTCCATCAGGTCAGGTCTGGCATTGTGGTGCCAAGAAGTCCTCCTTCCATTTACCATCAGTTTGTCCACTCTTGATGTAGAAGACATGTTGGATTTTAGAGTTGATATATACACCACCCAACTACCCAAATCTACGGAAAGAACCCTTTGCAAAGCCCTCCGTTCTTTTCCCCTCGGCATTGAATATTGAACAATCAGGTTGACTGCTATCTGTGGCCGCTATGTACTGTATACATCATGGCTTTTGCTCGCTGAATATTCTCTCCGTGCCCCTTAACCAAATGCAATGTAGCCAGGCAACGCTACTTGGCCTAGCTCACCCTTTATTCCGCACGTCTAACCATTTCCAGTTCAGCCCCATCGAATTAGGACAACGTCCACTCGCTGATCCTTATTAAAGACGCAGGTGGCTGCAATCAAATGATCGATCGTTCGCCTCGATTGTGCCGTGGAATGAACCGCAATACACTTGTTACCCATGACTATCGAGGGTCCTGTTGCTGAAGCGGAAATTCATAATGAGCGGAAATTATGGAGCGCCTCATGATAGTGATATCCCCGATTTTACTGCACAGGACATCCAGCAGACGTGTTATAATGCCTCGTTCCTCATCTTTTATCAGAATTTGAATTCGGATCTCTTACGCACGCTTTCACTGTTACGATTAATCATTTAATTCTCCGCTCAGACACTTGACAAAATCTCAACGATTGCTACAGACAAAAGATGTATCTACATGCATTGCTCGTAGTTGTCACTGCACCGTTAGTCCTAGCAGCGCCAGCCCCGGTTCCAGCACCTTTCCCACGACCACAGCTTATAGGAAATCCCGTAACAGGTCTTGTATCAGGTGTCGGAAATCAAGTCCTTGATATTGGCAGTTTGTCCTCGGCGATTCCAGCAGTGTTATCTGACAGTGTGGAAGCATCGACCGCTGCGAATTTGGTAGTAGGTGTGTAAATTACATTTCATCAAGCAAAGATAATTTAACTGACATACCACAGGGGCAATTGAAAATGGGACGATTTTGGGCACTGACGTGCCAGTGATTGCTAAGAAATTATTTTCGGCCGCTCAACCTACAGCCAAACCAAGCAGTGTTTCTCAAGCATTAAGTTGGGCAGCTGGTGCTTGGGGTGTATCTGATCCTTCTGCTTCCCCAACTCCACCAGCAAATATTCTCTCAAATGCTCTGGATCTTGTTCTTAATGGTTTTACTTCCAGTGATCTACAAGCTGTCGCGTCTGGTGCTGTAAGTTATGGATTGTGTTGATATATGTTACAATACTAATGTTCTCTAGAGCCCATCTTATAACTCTGTCAATAATGTGAATAATCCAGTGCCTCCCAACAAGAGATTCTACAACAATGTAAATGACAATGCACGATTTTCTGTCGACGAAAAAACTCTCAGGGCGGCAATTTACATTCCTCCTGGATTTACCTGGGGCAAGAAGCAACCCGTTATTATGTCACCTGGCACGGGCTCATTTGGCTATGGTGCATATGCTTCTAACATAGGCAAACTTCTGGCTACAACTAGCTATGCCGACCCAGTCTATTTGAACATACCATTTGCTTTGCTTGACGATGCACAGACCAATGCAGAATATGTAGCTTACGCGCTTCAATACTTCTATGCCATGACTTCACGAAAAACTGCTATTGTCACATGGTCTCAAGGGTCTCTCGATGCTCAATGGGCGTTTAGTCAGTATTGCCCAATATGGTCCCCCAGAAATTCAGCTAACAATACTTCCCAGAATATTGGCCATCAATCCCAAAAACTGTTACAGACCACATCGCCATCTCACCTGATTACCATGGTACAATCTTAGCTTACATTCTCTGTCCCGGATTCGAAAGTGGAAATGACATTGCGTGTACTCCTTCCGTTCTCCAACAACAATATCAATCCAATTTTGTCAATAAACTCCGCTCCAACAACGGTGATTCGGCCTATGTTCCCACCACTACTGTCTATTCCGTCACGGACGAAATCGTCCAACCACAAAGCGGAACCGCTGCCTCGGGTTTCCTACAAGATGCTCGTGGCGTCGGCGTCTCTAATACCTTTCTTCAAGGAGCATGCTTGGGACTTCCGGCTGGAACGCTGTATACCCATGCAGGTGTATTAGTTAACCCCGTCGCGTATGCATTGGTGACAGATGCGTTGCAAAACGATGGGCCGGGATCATTTGATCGGGTTGGCGATCAGTGCGGGAATCTCGTTGCGCCAGGAATCAGCTTGGCTGATGTTATCGAGACTGAAGCGTTGATTCCACTGGTAGCGTTGAATATTTTTGCGTATGAGAAGAAGGTTACTGATGAGCCTGCTTTGATGAGTTATGCTACTTATTAAGTGGTGGCTTGAGAGACAGTTTCCTGAAAGATGGATATGAATTATGATGATTCTTTTTGAGCGAGTTTCTTTCTTGTATATATTGAAGTGCGCCGAGGTGTATGATTAGCTGGGACGAGAACTTGGGGTGATTCATTGTTTTTTGTCTGTATTGTGAAGTCATTTGGGGGTTTAATAAGCGAGGGGACACTGATAATGAAAAAAGAAGAGGTTGGACGCACGTATCATCTTTTAAATTTAGTTTAAAGTACAATTTTCTGTCTATATTTAAAGCAAAGAGACTCGTTACAATGGCTGTATACACCTAGCAGTCTATAGTAATATAATGTGCTGCAGAACACTGAGATTTCCCGAATGTTAGGTTCCTTCCAAGCTTGCTCAACCCAGATGGCTAAGGGTGACGATTTCATGGGACTACGAAGTGTTCTTTTCGAAAACAGTACATTCAAAAGTCCGGACTAAAGTCCAGTTTGTGATTTTTAGTATTGAGGTCCACAAGATCCTATAAGTTTCCTTCACATCACTTTGATCATTTGCTTATTCGCCAAGTAGTAAATGACTTCCTTTTTCTTGATAATGTGATGGTTTTAATGAGTTTCCGCATCGACTTGAAGAAAAGGAATGATCATCACTGCTCCCCTACTTCTCCCACCTACTATTCAGCATGAATATCAACATGACGTATTTCACCACGAAGTAACTCGTAGCCCACAATTCCACTCTTGACCAGAATACAGAGAAATAAACCCAAACCCATACAGAACAAGAAATCCCCGACAAAATCTTGCACACAGGACCAAGTATCATTCATCTGAGGACTTCCTTTCCCAGAAAAATCCAACCACGCTTCCAATGCCTGATACGGATCGTACCACCGTATTCAAAGCACCAAGCCCATATCCACTCATTGCGGCACTCTGTAGATATGCAAACATACTTCTGGTAGCGATATTCCCGAAAATACTTTGAGAGATTGACGCTATAGATACTGTGAGAAAGTTAGCTCCATGTCATGGTTCTAAACTCTTTGGGCCCATTTACCTGCTCTCGGTCCCAGGCGAGCAAATCCTAATAGATAGAGGAATGAGCGACCCGCTGCAGCGGGGGTGAAGAATGTGACTATATTAAGGGCTTGAAATGCGGATTTGAATGGATGTGCCTGGATATAGGAGATGATGCTTTCGGAGAGAGTGGGAGGGGGTTGGTTGTATTTCTTGATGGCTTGGTAGAGAAGGATGGTTGTGATTGCTAATAGGAGCAATGCGATGGGTTTGAGGTATCGCGGCATTTTGGTAGGGTTTAGAAAGGTTGAGGTGATTTGGAGAGATTTTGAACAGAGTTGATTGATTGTAGTTGATGATGAGATCTGGATTTTATTTCATGCGAAGGTGAAGAACTCGGTAGAAATCTGAGAGAGTATTCTATAGAAGCAAATTGGTGGCTTGAGATTGAGCGGGTGGTGACCCATGTTTTCCTTTTCTCTGGCAATTTCGATCATGCAACTACCCATATACTCTATCACATGTGCGAGTTACAAGGATACAATTTCATTGCTTTTTTATTGAGTGAGCTAAGGAGATGAAGTGCACTTTATTGTTGTCTTGTAAGTGGTTTTACTCCTAGAAATCGCCATATATCATGATTGCAAATATAAATCTCAGCCTGCAGAATGCCGGTGAAAAAATTCCAATCACCCTTCATAGGTAAGATCCTATCAGCTTTCTTGAGTCACCACTAGTTCCATCATGGGCTTCGCCAGTATCCATAGCGGTCCCACTAGCCTATCTATCACCACTCCCTCTAGCCCATCCCCAAAATCCAGCACCGAGACTACTCACCGCAGCTGAAGCCTGTACAGCCGTGTTCACAGCCGCAGCCGCATAGCCGCCCATACCTGCACTCTGCATGAACGAAAAACCACTCTTGGCTACAACCACACCGATTTTGCTGTGCCAAAATGTCGCAAAAGATGCTGTGATGGAAATTAGTTATATGCAACACCACCTAAGTACTTTGACTTACCAGCTCTAGGTCCCATAGAACCAAAACCTAACAAGTATAACACAGGGCCACTTGCCGCAGCTGGGGCAAAAAACACTACTCCGCTGACAACGTGGAAAGCTGTTTGGTATGGGTGTGCCTTGATCCAGTCCTTGATATTATCTGGCAGATCCTCCCATTTCATTTTGAAGACTTTAGCCTCCCCCTTCTCGGCCTCTCCCTTCAAAGTAACGGGGATGGCTAGAATATTAGTATCAGTGGAGGTCTCTGGAATTCTCGTATCTTCTACCTCTTCGAGAGTGATGCCTTGTCTCTCGAAAGTCTCAACAATATCGTCAGTCCATTCCTCACTTAGCTGTGCTGATTCTACGGATGTGCTAGATTGATCGAAACCATCAGAACTCGCATTGTTGGCATTGTTTCCCGAGGGAATGATGGGATCCATTTGCGTTAGTGATCAATTGGTGATAGCGAGTCGAAGCAGAATTGCTGCGCTTTGGTACGAAGTGTAGGGCTTGAGTGTGAATGCTAATGTGATTAGGCGTGTTTAATTATGAAAATACTTCCGAAAGTGAATCGAGATGAAAGCAAACATTCGAAAGCAAACACTCAAAAGCCAGCCTTGTCAAGATGCCAACGTGGAGTTCGCTTCCATGCATATTGCCTGCAGTGTAACCTGCATTTTCTTCCCTTGTTATTATTTTATTTTTTAGCATGCAACCACTCATTCATCCAAGACACGTTTACATATTTGAATTTCGAGGAGCTGGGGGAACATCAGATGTCTGGTTCGTGGTGGTAGTTTGTAAGGAGCCGTGGCCTATTAGATAACGTGTATAAATTCTCGTGGTCAAGATATCTCAATAGCAACGTGATAAAAATCAACGATTACTCACTCACGAAGCTATGGGCTGCAAGTAGGAATTTATTGTTCTTCAATTCAACCTTTCGAAAGCACGAAACTCAGAGCTTCGCAGTAAATTTCCTACCTGCATTCCGTGACCCCCACATCTCACCAAAAAGACTACTTGCAGCAACAAAAAGTCTTGTTACAATATCTACAGCAGTAGCTCCATAACCTCCCATGACAGCACTTTGAGCATGGTCATATACGTCCTTTGCACTGACCGTGCCATATTTTCTCTGTAAAATCGATGCAAATGAAGCTATTTAGAAAGTTAGCGCGCATAATTATTTGGAAACTGCCCACTTACCAGCCCTTGGACCTTTGCCCGAGAATCCCAAAACCCATAGAATTGGACCACTAGATGCCGCTGGGGCAAAGAAAACAATTCCATTCGCAACGTAAAACGCTGTTTGATATGAATGTGCCTTAATCCAAACCTGGATGTCCACTGCTAGTTTGTTCCATTCGACTTGATAGACTTTTGCATGCGCCTTCTCGACCTCATCACAAAATTCAGAGGGTAATTTTGCATAGGTTGCTTCTGCAGTTTTTCTGAGTGCAATACCATGTTTCTTGAAAGCGTCAACAACACCAACGGTCCACTCGGCGACACGTTCCTGGAATTCCATATCTTCAGGGGAAGAAATCGCATCCACGAGGCGACCATGCACCTTCTCCACTTTATTCCGAATTTCTGGAGGCATTTGCGCATAGGTTGCTTCCATCGAATCTTTGAGTGCGGTACCGTGTTTCTTAAAAGCCTCCACAGCACCGCCAATATCTTGAATTCCAATGTTTTGAAGAGAAGAGAGTGCTTGCGCGAGCGGTGGACTATTTCTCGTGGCCTCAGTGGGGGCAGCAGCAATTTCTGCGAGGGTCTGGGCCCAGGCAGCGATATCTCGAAAACTAGCCATAGCTGGTCGTAGAGTTTGATATGTACAAAGTGAAAAGCTTTCAGACAGCTTGTTCTTTGGACTGTATAAGAGAGTCAGGAGTAACAAGAGTCAATGGCAACTTTAAAAGGGATGGAATCGTGTCAATGAAAGTGTGAAAACTAAAAAACCTCGCTTCTGCTGCACCTTCTACACATCTACTCCGCCGCGTAGCGGTAGCCACCTTTTAGAACTCAACTTTGTTTCATGTCTCGAATATCCTCTCCCAAAAGCGTATCTCTATTCCCTTCTCCGAATGGCTCAGTGTTGTGACAGTGTGGGGGCAGGAGAAGAGGCGGTGGGAGGAAGGATTTTGTGCATCCTCACGTTGTCTGCATAGTCTTCTCTGAATCGATGAAAACATGAAATGACAACAGTGCATAGTGGATATTGGATTCTAGTACTTAGAACCACTATTCTTTCCCATATACCTAACTGTCTGCTACCTCTAACAAACCCCTTTTTGGTTTTGACAGTATTTGTGAAACTCATTCGATTGGTGTCGAGAATAATTGTACGATGCACTTGCAGAATGTGAGGATCGGTGTGATAAGCAGAGTCTCTAGTTGAGGCGAATAACTAGTGTCAAATCATCCCATATGATTTGGTGGATTCCATGTAAATATGAAAATACAGTCGTGTATAAAATTATGATTGAAGTGATGTGGTGGGTTAGAACTACCAGGTGGTGCTCCAAGCTTCCGCGTCCCCGCAACGCGCCTGCAACGCGATCTTAGGGAAATTTATGACCTCAATGAACTAGAGCTCAGTTGCTACACATATCATGGTTGGCTGATGCGCCCTAGAGAATGAATATGTTGTGAGTCAAATGTGCCGTTTTGAGTTATTGGGTACTATTATATTGTTATATTACGACTTGGTAGATTGGTTTGCGCGGAAAAAGAAAAGCCAGTACGAGGAACCACTACACTCCACTGGGATTTCTGAGTTTGCTGATTGTTAAAAAGATCTAATCCTCAGCCAAGATGCTCCACGAAATACTCCTCTCCCTCTCGGGACATCCTTCTCCGCTCCTCGCTGCCGACAATACATCCTCGTCCTCCATCCTATCCCCCTCCGAAAAGTCCCTCCTCTCTTCTGTCACCCATTTAAGTGATCTTCACTGCAAGCTCCTAGCGCACACAAATACCATATCTTCAAAGCACTCTTCGAGTATCTGCCAAGCTGTCGCTACATCTATAAGCTCCGTACATCTTGCGAACTTTCAACGCAAAGTGCTTGAGGTTGAAAATGGCATTTTGCGCAAAGATGCTGGGAGTGTTGGCGCATATAATATTGTGCCGTTGACATTTATCGTGGAGAAGTTCTCTGGCTGGACAAGGCGAATGGAATGGTTCTTGGAGATTGTGGACTTTATAATGCAAGATGTGGGTGGAAAGAAGTGCAGTGGGGCAATGGTCATTGATAGGCTGTGCAATGCTATACAAACAGGATACGCGGACATAGAAGAGGCGGCATTGAGTCTGGTGAAGGTTGCGCAGACAGCTTGGCTGAAGCAGGTATCAGCCTGGATTCTCTATGGGCGGTTACCAAGTTTTGGACGTGGTGACTTTTTCGTACAAGAAGACGATTCACAGGTATGTTTCCATAGTTCACAACTACGAGAGATGAACAGCTGACGGGTCGGATCATAGGATTACATGATCGTTAAAGAATTGTTGCCGGCATTCGTGTCAAATTCTACCGCATCTTCGCTTCTCTTCATTGGGCGGTCCTTAAATCATATTCGAGTTAAGGGAATCTCATCTTCATCCTCCCCGGAGCTCGACCTATTATCATCTCACTTGCGACAGTTATCAACCATCAAATTCCCTATCAATGGCGCTAATTTCGCCCGAGTCATAGCCGCTATACGTCTTTCCCTATCCCAAACTACTTTACAGAAGCTGCTGCCCTTAAGCAAAGTAATTGAGGCCTTAACTTTATTACGGGAATTCTTTCTACTTGGCAGAGGAGAATTTGCCATAGCATTGATATCTGAAGCTGATGAAAAGATTCGATCAAGATGGAGAAGGTCTGATACTTTAGGCTATGAGAAGAAGGATGGCCTGGGGAACATCGTCGTTAAGGAAGGGGAAGTCACTGCAGTCCTTGCTAGGACCTGGGCTGCGATGGGTGTACAAAAGGGTCAAAATGACGAAGAGGATGATGATGATTTGCTTGAACTTGCAAGAGACCTTGTTCAGTTAAACATCATGAAAGGAAACACGAATACGCCAGGGAAAGTCAACTTGAGAGCCTCGCAATCTTCTCTAATTGTTTCCACCCCTTTCCGGAACCTCTTACTTTCCGTTCCAGTGGCCCTTACACTTCACATCCCTTCACCATTAGATCTGTTCCTTACTCCATCTGATACCCAGATGTATTCCAGCATTAATGCTTATCTTTTAGCAGTTCACAGGGCCCATCTACGGCTCACTAATCTTTGGAAGATAACTTCGTTACGTCGCGATCATCCTGCACCTCCGGGTCCACCTTTGGGTAGCTCGACGTTTGGTCGACAAAAGGTTCTAACACTTCGAGCTAGAGCTAAGGAACGTTCTCATTCTATGCGTAGTGTATGGGCAACTAGTAGCGCCGCAGTCTTTTTCTTAGGTGAGACGGAAGCATATCTTCAAGGGGAAGTTGTGCAAGGAACCTGGTTAGGCTTCACAGCCTGGCTTACTGGAGAAACGCGTGATTCAAGATCCCATGATGAAGATGAAGATATTTGGTTGCAGGCTGCCAATCAATCAACATCGAGGAACGCTAGCCACAACCATGATCCTCAAACACTCGCAGATGCACATAAGAGATATCTCACAGCTCTCGCATCCAATCTCCTTTTAACCACATCAAAATTCACAGATCCACTATATTATCTACTCCAACAAATTGATCATCTAGTCGCTCTTGTCCACCGTATCCACTCTGTTTGGCAATCTCTCGATCTCGAGGCCGATGAAGGAGTGGTAGATGCATTCTCTGACTTTCACAAGGAGGAACAGGACATCAAGGAACAACTCAGAACGATTGCAACACGTGTAAAAGACGCAATTGAAGAATTAGTCAAGACTCTACGGGACATAGACCAAGATAGAAATGGCTGGGATAGTGGATATGAGGAGTTGGTCTTGGGAGAGGAAGGTGCATACGTTCCAGCTAAGGTCGGCAGAGTAGACAGACTACTGATGAAGCTTGATTTCGGAGGCTGGTTTGATAAAAGAGGTAATGGGGAAACAGGAGATGTTTTTGATGATTTTGGTGATGATGATTGATAAATTAGCTGTTACTTTATTTGCATTTGCAGAGCAGGAGATGGGGAACGGGACAATACCCCGGCGTTCAGGCACTAATCATATCATTTAGACACACAATCAAGCAGATTGGTCGAATTTTATTCTAAAATTTGACTTTTAGGAGCACGATCTTTTATCACACTTAAGCTGGGACACAAACTGCCCCACGAAATAACATTCTTATTGATGCAGCTGTTCTTATAACAAGCAAGGCTAGTAAGTGAGGTAGTGCCCATGACGTTCATCTAACTTGTTCCTCCTTTGATCCTCCCTTTGCAATCTCATATTTACCTTATTAATTTTTCGAATCTCAGTTCTCGTTAAAATTCTGAGTTGAAACACGGAGAACAATTTTTAAGTCAATGTTCTTCGCTACTTAAAGAGTCTCGAGCTCTTTTACATACAATTCCATAGCTCTAGCCCGTTAAATAGAACCTTTCGGGTTTCTCGGAAGAGGCTTCTGTGGTGTGGTAATAATGATACATTCTTTCCGCACCCAAGCTTCTTCTCGGTATTTCTCATTGATACCATCAACAATAAACCAAATTTCTTCAGTTAGCCTTTCTTTATAGCCAAGCGCTGTCGCATCAATACTATCTTTGAGATCAACAAGAAGGGCCGTTTCCGTTACAAATTTCTCAACAAAAAACTTTCCAGCAGGAACCATAACTTCATCCTTGACATCAGGATGGTCTGTCACTGCATGTTCCATAATTTGCGGGTTGAATGGACGGGTTGCCACGTTATCTACAACCACCAAAACCATATCGCCTGTACGCCCGCGGTATGTCCATAAATCTTTCTTTGTGGGATGAGGAGAAAATAGATCCTTGGTAGAATACACCTTCAAAGCCGGATAGAGTTTGAACACTTGTTGTTCAAACTCAGTATCTGAATTTCGTACGATGACAGCTTCATAAAGCTGATCATCTGAGAAAATCCGATATTCTAAACCTGCAGCAGGATGAGTACATTGATATTTCCAATCTTCCGCCGGCCATTCTCCAGATTTGTAAATATTTGGAAATGGGGATGTTTTAGTTGTCCCATTTGAATTCCGAATTTGAATTTAGAGGCTATGATATCACCGACTTGTTGTGGCAAATCGCCGCCGCCATATCATATAGCGTCGAGTTTCCGGGCTACCAATTCTTCTAAGATTTCGGGATTGGTAGCGATCTCGTGCACCATCCATGGAGGTGCACATAGTACGTCTACTGGTGTGTGTTTCATAATCTCGACTAGCGATAAGGCGGTAGCTCGTTCCATGGGTAGAGGAGATACGACGATGTTCTGATTGGCTAGTGATTCGGATAGTGCGTTTACGCTTGATGCCTATTCTGCAGTTAGTTCTCTATCGTTATTGAGAGCTTTATATAGCATCAAACAGATTGTTGAATGAAATATATATACGTGCATGAAATGGTGGAAGATTCATAAAAACTCGTGTGCCTTGGTACTCTTTTTCTCTCGATTCGGAACCCTCAGGGGAAGCTAGTTGCGCCATTCTCATATATGTCGCTACAAAGTCTTGAGAATAGATAACAGGTTTCGGTAAACCAGTCGTTCCAGACGTGTGAAGACAGACTAGAGGTTCATTCTCGGCCTCCTTGAAAGTTTTGCTGAAGGGAAAATGTTTGTAGCTTTTATCTAGCAGCTCGTTCACATTTGGAACGTTAAATGATGTGTATCTTAGGCATGCTATTGAGTAACACAGGTCCTCCTAGTGGGACCGGATCTGTAGTTGCTAAGACTTGACAGTCCAGTGCGCTGAATAGACTGATGTTTCCATTACTGTTTTAAGGCGAGACGAGAAGTATCTATCAACCACACATCAAATATGCTTACATAAACATATCATGAAAATACAAACTTTATACCCAGCTTTCACAGCCCCCAAAACCATAGTAACATATCTCAGATCATTCCAACCCATGAAGCAAATAGTGGGAAAATCCTTTCCAAACCCAGAACCAAGCTGCTCAGTTAACCACCACGCAATCCCATTCACGGTATTCGCAAGCGCGGAATAAATCACTTTCCGAAAGCCTTCGGAGTAACTGGTGGATGAGAGGGGTACTACGGCACAAAGTGCATTAGGTCGTGTTCGGGCCATGCCGCCGATGATGTTGTTTAGAAGCTGTTTTTTGGTTGGGCCATCTTGAGCGCATTTTGGTCCTGGGTGTCCTTCGTTGAAGAGGATTGTAGCCATTATTTCTTGACGTTTTGAGAGTGGGAAATGGAATGTGGTCATAGATATTAGGGGTGTGAGATGATATATATCTAGTAGTGCTCAGATACATAACAGTTGGTACCAACAGACTATACGATTATACTTGGACTGCCGAACTTTTACCCCACAAACGTACGTTGGATTCACTGACTGCATGTTGTATATATTTCCTGAATGAGGGTGGATTGGAATTACTTTGGATTGTTGGACCGTCTGACTGCATGAGTACTCAAGATTTTTACTTCGTTTCACTACAGACGAACAACTCTTGAATCATCCGTGGAGCCATGCCACATTCTCTTCGTGTTCAAATTACTGTGTGAATTAAATTTTGGGGTCTTACTGATGACGTCGCGTTCTATGTCGGATTTCTCAAAGTTGTCGTTTTGCTCAACTGCGGGCGTTCGGTCAAGAGTGATGAGATCTGGGGAAACATTCGGTCATTACATATGTGATGTAACGACAACGGTATTTTCAGGTAGCGGAAACTTGAAAGATTGATGCACTATCCGTTGTGCTGTTACTATGTTAAGGAAGTTAATCGTTGTCGATAATTCTTTTACCGTTGTTCATATTTGTATGTCGTCACTGTACTGAACCACTTCCAGTTGTTTTGTTCAAGGGGTGCATTAGCTTCCACAAAACGATAGTCGAACTATATGGGATACAAAATTTGAGGTGACGTCTCCAACGCCTGTGGCGAGGTTATAGGTAGAGTCGAAATAATTTGCCAGCCACATAAAGGTAGCAGGTGGAGTTTAAATACTTCTTCCTTGACACCGCAAGAAGGAGCGTCCCAGTTTTCTAAAGACTAATCATACCTAGGTAACCAATGATGAAGTGAATATAGGCGTTCAGGATAAATCCACAAATGAAATGTTGAGCCGATAGTAGAATCGAGTTTTGTTGCATATCTGAGATATTCTGATACTTCTATCCTCTCGGGATCGAGCTCTAGGTCCTGTCGGGCTTTTAAGACGTGCAACAAGAGCTTCGATCCCAGAAAATTCGCCAATCAGTGTCATTAATACAACACCACGCGAGAGGTATGTTGCACATCTAACGGAAATACGAATATATTTCCGGATACTCTGGCACTTTGGATCGACTCATCCTGAAATCTGAAGTGAAAAGCCATTATGGCCGACAAGAATACTTAATCTAGAAGCCTACTGCGATAGCGAGCATGTCAAAGACGATAATGTGAAAGCATTCCTATATATCTGATTCTCACGAAAAGGGTTATATCCTATAACTATGCATGAGAAACCATGTCTGAGGTGCCCTTGGTAACTTCAAAGTTTTGCTGAATGAAATATTGAGAAAAATTGACAGAATTTGGATGAAATGAGGATGGTACTGAGCTGTCGTCAATCAATTCCATTGTAGATTTGAGAACTAGGGAGGATCAGCTAGACAGGGGTTTCGGGTGGAGACATCTTGCTGTCAATCGATCTAAAGATTGCCATTGAGAAAGGAATGAATGAGCAGCCTGTATCAGCGCCCCATTGACAACTAAAACTTCACAATTCATTGAAAAGAGTTGAGAAAGAACAGCGGAGAGATATCGTACAACCCACGTGCACCGAAAGCTATATATGCTGTGGATATTGAATGGGTATTGGAATTGCGGAAACTCTTGAGATTATCTACCCTCTTTCCCCAACCGCCCATTACCCTTATTCATAAGTTTTAAGTCAAGAAAAAAGGGGAAGTTGACAAAAATTGAGGAGAAAGTGACTGACTCAGAAGTTAAGATCAGGTCCAAGTTACATAGAAACTAGCCCTGCGTCATTATTTAAGGCGAAGGGAGCTTGTAAATATATTGTAGATGAAGAACGACTACGAAACATTTTCTTCCTAGGAATGGATCAGCAGAACTGACTCTGTTGCTTGGAGAAAAATACCTTCACATGAATTCAGTTGTGCCATTTTAGGCTATCTGCTCCCCCACAGACATTGGCTTGGATTGACTAAATATCGGATGGTATCAAAGTGACAGCGAGCAGGGTAACATAACGTGAAAGTTCAGTGATCGAAAGTGTGACCATTTGACGACAAAAGGTTCTTTACTATGACATCAGTCGACCAAGCCAATGGATACTCCTGCAGGTCACAGAATTCACCCCCATTCCAACTTCATTCTTTGCTATTTACTGATGATGGGCGCACATAAAACAAGCAATTGACGTGTTTGGAAACCATAATATGCAAAAGGATCATCTATCAATCTCTTTTTTACACCCCCGCATATCGGTGCTAGATACTGAGCCACTTCAGAGTGACAATCATGGCTGTTGTTCTCTTTTATCTTTCTCTAACGGTGATAGTATGGCTCAAGCAAATCCACCATGAAGGAGATAAGTTCAGGTTCTTGGCCATAGGAAAACTTCGTGCTAGTCGCTGAGTGGTCCCCATGATTCCCTTTCTTTGATGCTTGGAATGCACCAGCCCGCCTTCAGTCCGGAACTAAAGTAAAGATACACCTCAATCTTACTTCGTCACAAGCCATGTGGTAGAAATTAATTATTTCAAAGGTTCAAGTCATACACGCAGTCTTATGAGATCAAATAGTATCGCATTTATTGCCGTTGTCATCTCGATATTAACATTGAGCATCCATGATGAAACCAATTCGGTAACAAATGACGTTAAGAAAACGCTTTGTGGTCAACTCCAAGTAATACCTTTTGGGACCAACTAGATTGTCTAGTCCAAACGCTACTATGCGGAAGGAAGAACCTCGACCGTGAACGTCGAATTCAAAATTGCAATATATGATACGAACCATACTGCTGGAATCAACCTTTACACTCCTTTGGAAAGTATTGGAAGCCTTCTATCTATAAAAAATCATAAGAACCGAAGTACATGACTGTTCCGGCGGCTGTATGTAAGATGCTTTTGAGAGTTTCATCAGAATATAGGGAGTGCTTGCCGTTAGCATGGCACTCGGAAAGAATCTTGACCCTTCCAAGTGTATTAGCAGGAAAAATACACCGGTCCTTCACGGAAAATGAAGGTTTTTAGCCATGTAGGATGCGATAGAGCCCATACAGGGTCTAACAACAGTCTGTCAAAAGTGACAACCAAAATCTTAAACTGACAATGAATTGAATATCGAGAAGTCGAAATAGAAGACAGAGTTAACTTACGACTGGGCAGGTTTGCATATCTATTCCTTCCCCGGTCGATGGCGGAACACTCGGGAGTACTTGCTATGGTATAAGGTGTGTATAGTAGGATTGCAGGCGAGCGTCAGAGGTGTAGAAATGGTAGGTTTTGGTTAAGATTTCAAGCCTACGTAGTAAGTGAGCCATGCTCTCCACTCGCCCAACAAACAACTGATGAAGATAGACTTCCTCAGGTTAACGCAGATCAAATTATGTACCTGCTGTTCGTTGTGAGGAGGCAGTTGAGAGCCACAACCCTTATATACACTGAAAATATGACCCATTCTTTGGGTATGATGATGCTTCTCTTCATATACCCCTACCCATATTCTTGCAGTGTTCATTTCTTGAGACGACAGAGGCTGCGGTGTCAAGTTGAGGACATAACACTCTTCATCTCTAAAGCTAACCCGATGGTATGTGCTGAAGCCATTTTGTCGAAGTACATACGAAAGGAATCTATCTATCAATATCCCATCCAGCGTAGGGATAAGAAAGACAGGCTGGATTGATTCGTGTCATAAAACTTTTGATGGATGATTGATTAAATCGGGTACCCTACTTTCGGGCCACCCCCCTTTTGGGCCACTTTTTACACCAAAAATGGAATTTTTAACTTTCTTATTTATGAATAGAATTTATTGAAAAATTATATATATATAATTTAGATCATTTTTAGTTTACCTTGAAAATTTCAGATTTTTAGGAATTTTCTATATTGAGATCTAGAGCTTCAAAATATCGACTTTTAAATTTGTATGAGAATTACCTACAAATTTGAAACTTTTATAAAATCTTTAATAACTTTTTATAAAAATTGTTAAAAATAAATTATAAAATTTTATTATAAATTTATAATATATTTATTTTAAAGGATTCAGAAAAAAAGAAAGTTTCCTATAAATAGGTATTTAAAAGAATACCCTCAAAATTGTAGGGATTATTTATACTACTCTAAACTCACTATATACTATATCTCTATATTTATTAATTTTTTTTAATTTTTTTTTAATTTCTATATAGATTTAAGTTTAAAACTTTTAAAAAGATATATTGTTTTCTTTTAATAATTGTTATTAATATTGAACAGACTTAATAAAATGTGTATATACAATATGTATGAGTAAAAGAATTGTTTATTTCTATCTACCCTCTTTATATAAAGAGGGAATTACTATATCTATATATATGTACTACCCCCACTTATACACAAAGTGTATATGTAAGGTAAAGTGTGATATATAATGTCATGTTGTTGATCATGTATTCCGACAATTAAAAAGTTATTAAAGATTTTATAAAAGTTTTAAATTTATATGTAATTCCTATACAAATTAAAAAATCGATATTTTAAAGCTCTAGATCTCAATATAGAAAATTCCTAAAAATTTCAAAATTCAGAATAAGCTTAAAATAGCTTAAATTATATATATTCAAATTTTTATCAAATTAGATTATATATTGATAAAGATATTAATAGACTAAAAAAGCAATTTTTGGTGTAAAAGGGTGGCTCAAAATGAGTGCGATTGAAATGACGACATGCTAAAAAAACTAAACTCTATTAAGTACGATTTACATTACGATTTTAAAATAAAATCTTTAATCAAAAACCTAATCAAAGTGTTTGTAGCTTTACTTAAACAATTTTTGAATTTCTATATAATAATATTACGGGAGCTGCCTCTAGGGTCACGTGGAAGTGTCTAGAGTTCTCTCGAGGTGGTTTTGACTAGACTTTAAGTAGGAATTCAATAAGATTGTAACTAGTTGTAATTCTTATAACTATAGTAATGAAACTAATGA